AAAAAAAAAAAAGCAGAAACAAAAATAAGTTATACTAAAAATATAAATCATGAGTTAAAACAAACATATGTAGGTAGATTAGACAGATTTAACACATGGACACACATATTCCTATATCACTTTTCTCCCTGAGGACTCAAAGTGCTTTTATATGCTGTTGGAGTAAATGGCGAGGCAGCCATCTTGGGCACGCTCAGTAGCATTTCATATTAAAAGGAGAACTGAGGTGAGTGCTTTTCACTTGCCTCATAGTTCTAGCCGACCTGTGACAATGAGACTCTCACAGGTCGGCTCAGTAGATCGGGAGGTGAGCGAACAGTTACCGGCGTTCGCTCACCTCTCGATCCTGTCACGGCTCTCTGCCGTGACAGGGGAGGGGCTTGATTCCCCCCTCCCCGCTCCGTCAGCGCTGACTGGCGGAACGGACGGGGGAGGGGGCGGGTACAGCTGGCTCTGTTTCTAGATAGGCAGAGCCAGCTGTCAGTCACGCAGCTGGGAGCGATCCCGGAACAATTGTCGGGATCCGCTTCAGCGTCTCAGTATACCACAAGCTGTAGCTCGCGGTATACTGAGCCTAGGGTGACGGGAGGATGCTAGTTTGTGTCCTCCCGTTACCCTAAGGAGAACAATGGGGAAAAGACTTACCCCCATAGTTCTCCTTTGAGGCCAATTTTGGAGAGCCAATTAACGTACCAACTAATCCACTCAAGCACAGGGAAAATGGCAAACTCCATGCGTCTAGTGTCACGACAGGGACTGAAACCAATGACCCCAACGCTGCACGGCACTAGTGCTAACCAATAAGCCACCGTGCTTCGCTATAACACTAAGCCACTGTTTTTCGTAATTAGCACTAATCACAACGGTTACTGTTAACCACAGTGCTTCCCAGATCAGTGACAGTAGCATCTATATATCTATCGGTCCCAGGACTCATGATATCAGAATCCATAAACAAATACAAGTACTTGGCTAAAAAAATAACAATATGTCAGATATAACAACCAAAATTTGATGACAATTTTATTAGTTAAAAAAATGGTTGGCCGATCACAGCACGGCCCTGAGTGTGCACATTAGAAAGTCTCTAAACCTTTTGTTTTGTCACAGTAAACTTTATTGCCGGAGAATACAAAATGCATAAAAGCCGATGCAAGAAAACACAAAAGCTTTAAAAGTCTAATAAAAGGAAAACCGGTATAAATCACAAATCTTATTTCTATCTAAAAAGATATCCAGGGCATGCCATCAACAAAAGCTCTTACGTGATCATACGCATTCAGGGTTATGCACAAAAGGGTGAAGAGTTTGGAGGAGGCAGGAGAAGTGAGCAATCTAGGACAACATAGCTGAGCTGGAAAGTGAGCTGAATTGGGAATTTTTTCCAGTTCAGCTATCTTGTCCTAGATTGTTCATTTCTCCTGCCTTCTCCAAGCTATGCACCCTTTTGTGCATAACCCTGAATGTAAATCTGCAACCAAACATACAGTGTTGGATTTACATCTAGTAGTGGACTAAACTTTCAAAATGAAGTGGTGCTGCTCATTACTTAGTTTTAGTAATCCTGGAGTACCCTGGGAGTTCCAACATTCAGAGTACAATATTATGCAAATCTTGATTTTACCTAGAATGGGGGCCTGCCTGACCAGTAGTGATATTAGGGAGGTGGTATGGGCAAGACTAAAAGCCAACTTTTTGTGGCATGTCTAGAGCCCCATATCACCCTTTGTTTTGGGGCTCTTCAGGTATAAAGCTAGTGCAGGTAGCTCCAAATACCTACAATAAACCTAATGGGTCCAGTACAGTTTCATAAAGCCCAGTATAGGTATATTTTAAGATTAGGGCTGGTAATTATTAAAATTTTCGTGTTCGAATAATCAAATCGATTAATTATAACGCACATACAGATCCAACTACATTGGCCTATACAGCACAGCAATGAAGTAATAAAATGAACTAGGATCACACTAATTCAGCACGTTATTAATCTCACGTGCCCCACTCAATATGGCCGCCGCTTGAGTGGGGCAACTCAGAATAATAACGTGCTGGATTAGTGTGATCCTAGTTCATTTTATTACTTCATTGCTGTGCTGTATGTGTATAGGCCAATGCCCTGGCTGGCGCTCGTGCAGAAAGTTTCTTGGGCAAACTCACTGGCCAAAGTGGCTCCGTCGGCTAACGAAGGGGGGAGGAGTCCGGTGACGTCGATGTTCGTGACGTCACTGGATCGCCGACGGGACTCCCTGAAGCCGGCAGAGAGGTGAGGTGTTTTCATTAGCGATCAAAATAATTTTAATCGATCAAAAAGTTTAACGATTAATCGAGAAATGAATCTTTAATTTCCACAGCACTATTTAAGATGCATATTGTAATCAACATTGTCATACCCATTCATCATCTTCTGCGCCATCGCCTTGGCCCCGGGACTCAGGAGCAGGTGCGCTGCTGCGAGATTTGTTGGTCATTATGTTGTCTGTCCAAGATGCCCCAGTTTGAGAATCACCAGCAAAATTGCACTTTGTCACCGTTCCACTGTCAAGTTTCGCTAAAGAAACTAAAAGAGAATGAAAGAATCACAAAGCTGAATCAATGTGAAGGTTATAAGAACATCATCCACCATTTTTCAGGTTCATTTAGAGAATGCTACTCATTAGGGATGCACAGATAGCATTTTTGACCATCCTGTAAACATGACTGAAAGCACTGTTGGAGGTTAAAAAATTAAAGTAGACTCTTAATGATATTCATGCTTCTATCATTAAAGGAGACCTGTTAAAAAGGTTGTCAATGCCTACCATCTTCTGAAAAGATTAGTAGCCTGGCTGTCTCTAGCTTCAGTACTTTGAGTCACTAACTCAAAAAAGCACGCAGTAAGTGAAGTCAGCAGGAGGTAAGAACTAGGACACTTTCTCCAGATAACTGAAGTCTTTGGGTCAACATAACAGCCACACAACTAGCATTTTTAAAGAGTTCGGCACTGCCAGTATTTGCAAGGTACAGGTTTCTTTTAACGCAAATGTGCTTAACATTATTGCATATAACAGAAGTAAAAATACGCACACAGAAATGGCCCATCACCAATTGTCTTCACACGCAACTGCTCTCCGGCTTCCAGTTCAGTTTTCTCCATCTCGGCTTCTGGGAGCCAAAAGGCCACCGTGTCCTTGGGGAGGAATTTATCACTAATCCTTGTGAGTTCCTCTTTGTTGATGAGACTTTTCAGCTCCTCTATTGAAAGTTTGTCAGTTTCACCTTTTGCTTCCACCTCTAGTGACAAAGTAAAGCAATTTATTATCAATAACGAACACAAATAATGTTTCTTCACCTTTTAATGAATGCCTTCTACGTGTGGGATATTTATTCTTCCTAAAAACAATTTGAGTTGGCACAGGGCATGCCACAGAATGATGGGTGCATTACATTTTAGGGCTCATGTAGATGGGCTGCGTTCTGAGTTTGGATGCACATGTTTGTTAATAAAATTTTTAAAAAACACAGTACATGAGCTTGAGCAGCCTTTCATTGGCTAGTAGCAGGGGGTGCTTTGAACAGGTTTTCGGTGAAGAAACTGTAATGGATTTCAATGACACTGCCTGTGTTGGAAGAAACACAAAAGCAGGTCAAACATAGTCATTCACACTTTTAAAGTGTATTTCCACTTGCAGTAAAATTTTAGAAACACCCATTTTGTTTATTAATGTGCTCCCATTTGCACAGCATACATAAAAAAAAGAAGAAGAAGAAGAAGAAGAAGAAGAAGAAGAAGAAGAAGGAGATAAAGGGAGATTCCAGGCTACTCTGAGCAGTTTGAAAAAGTGAAAGAAGAGGGACAGACCGAGCTTCCTTAAACATACAATACTTTTAAATCTTTAAAGCAAAACTCCAGGCAAATCAAATCTTAGCCCTTGCAATGGGCCGGTCATGGGCCATTTGCGGCTCGGGACCGGCCCGCATTCACCTGTCAGTCATCTGGCTGCTATAGCCAGAGAGAAGAAGCTGATGAAGCAGATCGGTGCTTCATCAGCTTCTTTTGGGGTCCCCAGGTGACATTAGGGGTCTTTAAGACCCCTAATGTCTCCATAAAGAGGACATGTCAGTGTGCCTTTGCTATTATATAGGGGGATTGCTATCCTCCTATGTGATAGCAATAACAATAAGTGTAAAATAAATAAAAAACCCCAACATTTACGCACATATAAAAACGTAAATACGCGTTTGATGCGCCAATTAAGCAGCACTTGTTACATATCGCCGCGAACGTCGGAGTGAGAGCAAGCATTTTAGGGCCATCAATCACTGATAACACTAAACTGATGAGCGATAATTCGCCTATGGCCAATTTTGGGTATTGTAGTTTTTTGAGGTTTCGCACACGCGCACAATTTTAAGGCTTGACATGTTTGGTGTCTATTTACCCGCTGTGACCCCATCTCTTATATTTTAGCAAAAAATTGGGTAATAATAAATGTTTTATCATTTAATTAGGGGAAACATTTTTTTAAAAAAAATTTCGGTAATTTTTCCTTAATATATTAAAAAATAAAACCCCACAGTGGTGATTAAATCACACCAAAAGAAAGCTCTATCTGTCCCCAAAAAATTGTAGAAAAATCAAATGTCAAAGTACTGCAGCACTGAAGAAAAATGGCCTGGACAGGAAGGGGGGTTTAACACTGCGGACTTCAAGTGGTTAACTATTAATAATACTGTACGTTATTTGTGTATCACTTGGCTGTAGATCCTGAAATCATCTCTGAATAGGAGCCAACACTGTCCTCCCTTCTGGAGGGTGGCTACTTTTGTTAAAGTAAAGTATATTGAAATGTGCAGACTTGTCATATAAAAAACACACTAAAACAAGTCAAAAGCAGAACAACAAAGCCAAAGTGCACAAGTCCAGGTGGCGGGAGGTGAAAGGCACTGAAACGGACCTACAGTATAGCTGCACTTTTACTAAACCTAATACATTTGTACTTTTCACTGCAGCCTATGAAAACAGCCAATATGATGGGTTACCTTTCCTGAAGATAAATCAGATTTCTTGGCTCTGTGTTTGCATGCATCTTTGCTATAAACAAGATGCCCCTGACCTTCTCCAGAGGGAGGTTGGGGATGGCAGACCCGCTCTGCATTGGACTGAAGGGGCAATCCATCTCCCTGCAACAGATTTTTCACAGCGCAGTAAAATGTAGTCAGGGCCAGGAGGCTGCGGGCAACATGGCTAGAAACAGGACTTTCGTAATGGTAACAAATCATACTGACACTTTTTTATAAGCTACAGGGGCAAGTACAAATCTTTTATATTTAGTGAAGCTGACACACAAGTTACACTGCCGGCATCCCCAGCAGAGGAAGTTTTGTTTTTTTGTGACATACTTTAACAAGGCTCCCCTAAAGGAACGCCGACACAGCAGCTTTTCTCATTACAGCACTTAGACTGATACAGAAAGCAAACCCTTCCATTCAGGTATAAATTACAGGACTTGATAAGAAAAGCATCTTATAGGTCAAAACAGAGAAAAGTAGGAATCTGGAAAAAATACGTTTTCAAAAAATTATTTCAATGTGTGTAGTTTCCGCAAAGGGAAATGCTTATTATAAACCAAAATGGAGTTCCTCATTCCAGAAAAATTGTGTATTTTTAGCCAGTAAACATTTTCGGTTACTGTAAAATGTACAAGAAAGTTAGAGATGTGGTTTTATTTGTGGATGTTCTGTATTGTACTACAACAGCGTAGCCTTCAACAACTGCTGAGACAAAACCTAAGGCGGATAGGCCACTGTTTCAGAGATCCTGACCTGGCTGGCATACTTGCGGAAACAGAAAATAAATCACAATCACTGTTCAGAACTTAAAAAGGAAGTTGAAGTAATAAATCATATACACACACCTCTATGGCTCATTCAGTTGTGTGTAAATGTGAAACAGAATTACACCCAGGAAGAGGAAGGAAGAGACATTTCTGGGAGTGTTCTGTACTCCAACTGTGTACAGAACACCTCCAGGTTACCAAATCGCATAGATTTTTTTGACAGCTTTAAAAAATTTTATACAGTGGCTGCAATTTTAAATGGAGAGGTAAGTTTAAATAACATTAAAATGAGAAAATGTCTTGTGTAGCAATTATAGATGCCATTTTGTTTTCACAATTTGTTCATTTTAATTTTTTGGGGAGTTTCTCTTTAAATATAACTATTCCAAAGACTATTAAAATGTTAATTGCGGTAGAAATAAGAACGTTGCATACCTTTTCCGCTTTCCTTCTTAGACAACATCTGTACAACTAAACGATGTCTACTGTGTGTAACGGATAACCACAAAATTGGCTTTGCTGACCAGAAACTTCACATTGTTTAAAATGGAATTTCTGTGACCTCACGGCTCCAGCAGGAGTGCGGTATTCAGTTCAGTGTTTATTTGCAGTGGTTGAGCAGCCCACCAAACCTATATCACACCAAAAAGAGCTTCAGCTTATAATCAAATGTACCACCTACGGTAAGAAGACATCAGGTAGCCGGTGGCCACTTTCTTAGTGTCGCTAAAGTTGGGCTCAATTTCATTTCCTTTATTGTCAAATTTCCTCCGATGTATCCTGCCAGGTCTCAGATAGACAATGTACCACCGTTCCTAAAATATACAAATCCCTTTAAAATATACATGTAATACATTAAAGCCCAACTACACTTTCAGTTTAAATCAGTTACATATATTCCAGGTGCATCAAAACACATCAAAGCCTTATAGTTCATTTTTTTAGAAAGCAGCCACAGCGAGGCGAAAAGGGTGTACTTTGCCTTTAGAAAACCCATCGTCCATGGGAAGGGGGTGCAGAGTATACTACATTTTTATTGATAAAACAAAAGATTATGGGGACATTTATCAAAACTGGAGCAGACGGAATCTGGAGGAGTTGCCTATGGCAACCAAAAAGCTATTCTCTTCAGTTTGTTCAGCTAAGCTTTGAAAATGAAAGATAGAAGCTGATTGGTTGTCGTACACAGCTGCTCCAGATTCTGAGAAAACATCTATAAAATATCAGTTTAAAAACATGTCAACCTGACTGTCACTAATTTGAAAAGTTGAAATGCAGTTCTCCCTGAAACTCAAGCAAAAAAACAGTTTTCCCTTTATTATGTTAGGAAACATTATTACCCAATTTTTTGGTAAAATATAAAACACGGGGTCACATCGCGTAAATAGACACCAAACATGTGAAGCCTTAAAATTGCGCGCGCCCGCAAACAACTACCATACCCAAAATTGGCCACAGGCGATGCTTTAAAAGATTTGACCTCTCATCAGTTTAGTGTTATCAGTGATTGATGGCCCTAGAATTATTGCTCTGACTGCGACGTTCATTGGCGCAATCGTCGTTTTTGCACGTAGGCGCATCTAACGCATTTTTACGCATCTATGCGAGGGGAAAAATGTTGCGGGTGGTTTTTTTTTGTGTGTAAATTTTATTTATTTTGTGACCAATTTTTTTTACACTTAACTGTATTGTTATCACATAGGGGGATAAGGATCCCCCTATGTGATATCAAATTACAGTGACGGGTCCACTCTAAGACCCCTAAGGACCCCCAGAGAAGCTGATGAAGCACAGATCTGCTTCATCAGCTTCTTGTCGGTTTCTGTACCAGAGAGTGACAGAGAAACGCTGAAGTGACGTAGTAAACATCACTTCCTGCATTCAGAGACCGGGGAGGAGAGAGTGGAGGAAGATCGTATACTGATCTCCCCCCGTTCTGCGTGCACGGAGCCATATGGAGCCACACTTCCAGTCCGCCTGTATGTAAACGCCCATTGCTGGCTGTGTAAAATACTGGTGGTTTCCGGCTCGTGCGCGCCAGGGGTCACGAAGGACATCTAAAGACGCCCACCCGCATCCAGAAGACTCCCGTCTGGCCGTTTCTGAACTTTCGGTGGACAGGAGGTGGTTAAATCTGCCACAGAATATATTTTTATGTGTTTTTGCAATTTTTGATCAGGATGCACTAAAAATAACGATAAAAATCAGTATTCCAGTTATCACAAAGAGTGTGCCATTTGCGAACCAGCCAGCAAATCCATTCCTTATGTTTTGTTCAAAAGTGACAGTCTCCATCAAATACTTCGATGGACTGGCTGCCAAAATTCTTCCCTAGATGACTTCAGAGACGATGAGGCGTTCTTGCAAATAACAAAGTAAACAGACATATGCACTGCGAGAATGACATGTTATCCGAAATGTGAAAATCCATCTGCCTCTATTCTCACTTGCGTGTATCTGCCTTGGAAAAAACATTTGTCTGTGTGCTCGCAGCCTTTTATTGAAACCTTTGCCAGACTGAACTCTGCAGTCAACCTGTGGAGTCCTAAAACCCAGCAGGATGTCTGATCTCACTTGCTGAAAGACGGCTTACACAACTTGTTTTGCACAGCTCCAAGAATGTATTTTTATCTCTTAACACAAACTAGATTGAAGCCATCTCTGGTTTGATCTCTGTCAAATCCTAGTTCTGTTGGGTATCAGATGTTCCAGAAGTCGCAGCATTAGGTTATTTATACCACATGAAAAGGAAGGACAAAGATAAACCGCAGAAACAGAGAGACATGGTACCGGTAAATGGAAGGCAGACACTAATTGACACCATGCAGAAATCATTTACCTCCTAACTGGAGCTCTGCAATGAACTTGGTGATATGAAGACCATGTAGATGTAATTGGGGTCCATATTACCAAATAAAACAAATGCATGAAATGTCACTTTACCTTATTTTTTCATTTTATTAAAAGATCAAACAGTTCCTTGCAAGAAATACCCCCCCCCCCCAATTGCTGGCACCTAGCAGACAGTAGCTTGCACGCTAAAAGTGATGGTTTTAGCATGCGCTAGTGTGAATGGGGCTATAAACTAGGGATGCACCAATATATCAGCCACTGAAACATATCGACCGAAAATGGCACTTTTGGCAACATTTTCTTGCCCATACAGCGGTGCATCCATTCTTTCTCTCCTCCCCGCTGGGCGCTGCTGTGTGTCCCAGAGGGGAGGAGAGAAACTGTCACAGGCAGCCGAGCGCTGCGGGAGGAGAGCGCTGTGAGTGGCTGGCGTCTCTCCTCCCACACCGCTCAGCCTCCTGTCAAAGATCGGCAGAGCAGTGTGTCGGTGGAGACAGCCAGCCGCTCACAGAGGAGAGTGAGTACAAACACTCAGTGATTTGTAAATAATGTTTTTGTAAATAGTTGAGGACATGATATGGTTACTATATCCCTAATTATGAATGAATGGGAAGTGATCTACATCACCTCCTGTTCATTCACGATTGTGGTCATGGTAAACACACTCTGTCCTCATGTTATGAATGAATAGGAACACTTAGGGGTCTATTCACTAAGATGTCGTAGGCAGCCGAGTGAAAGACCGACGCTGTTTGGCTACTCACCTCAGGCTGGTACGGCTGATTTCAGCCGTATATATCGGCTGAAATCAGCCGTACATCGGGTGGCTTCGGGTCGGCCGAACATGCTCAGCATGTTCAGCCAACCCGAAGTGCAGGAGGAGTTCGACTCAGCCGATCCAACATCTGGATCGGCTAAGCCAAACTTCCGGCAGGCTACTTGCTGCTGTTCGGTCTATTCTTATAGATGCCGACCAGCAGTGAGTGAATAGCTGAATGCCGCTGAGCTGCATTCTGCTCGGCTGTTCTGCTCGGTCCCTCAGAGGGACCAAGCAGAACAGAAAAATTGTTTCAAAAATACGTTTTCTATTGGCCGGCGGTTCTGCTGCCGTCAAAAAAAAAAAGAAAAAAACTCTCCCGGGCGCTCTGGGAGTCTCCCGCTCCCGGCCGCCCAGGAGAGAAACACAGATTTTTCTTTATTCTGACACGGAGCCGAGTCAGAATAGAAGAAAAAAAAAAATTGTGCCCATTGGAATGCATTGGTAGATTCCTATTGGCTATTTCAATTTGCAATAGCCAATAGGAATCTAGCAATGCATTCCTATGGGCAAATTTTTTTTTTTTTTCTATTCTGACACGGCTCCGCTCTTAGACAGGTCCTTCCAGCCTCACACACCATCGCTGCAGCTGTCTAAGGTCCCCAAATCGTCACGTTCTATACACAGTGTATAGGAGGTCAGGACACCTAGGGACATACCATTGCTGCAACGTATTAGGAGACAAGCTGGAGGAATCGCTGTCGCAGCCAGCCGGCTCAGAGGATCGAGTAGTACAACTTGTTTTCCCTCCCTTGATCAAAAAAAGCAGTTAACCCTTGCAATGAGGAGGTAGCCCCACTGCAAGAGTTCATTAAAAAATGTTGCTCGGAGATCTTCTTTAATAGAAACTGGCTGTAACAATATGCTTGATCACACTGCAGCCTAGTTGTAAGAAAATAGACATATAATAATAGAAAAGAAAAAAAAAAACCTCTCCAGCGGTCATAAAAAAATATAAAATACCCTCTAGCCTATAAAGACATAAATGGCATCTGAACTTTTCTCTGATAAGAATCATGCATGTTATTTATTGCTTTGTGTGTTCTCTGCAATTTAAGTATCCATCACACGGCTCAGACTGCTGAAAATGATGTCTTGTTTGGGAAAGTCCACTGTTGGTGTGATCGGCATGTCCACACTACGTATATGCAGACATCAAAGCCATGAAGTCAGTTTCTTAAAGCATACATCAAGGCAAAGAAATGCAGCACACTTCTGCAATACAAGCACATGTCCCTGTGTTATAATGAGCCCACAAGTACAGAAAATAGCTGCTAATTAGGGATTCACCAATAACAGTTTTTCGTTATCGGGTACCGAGCACCAGTGCCCTATGCCCCAATTATCAGGAAGTCGGGCGGTGGTTCCTGACCCGTCGCCCAGCTTCCTGAATGCCTGCGAAGCCGGTGTTCTAGCGAAAGAACACCGGCTTCAGGAGCTACCTGGCTTCCTGACCAATAAGGAAGCCGGCGAGTCATGAGGTGCCATTCGGCTTCCTGATTGGCTAGGAAGCCGGCTTAATTTGTTTCTAGGCAATCAGGAAGCTGGGACACGAGTCATGACGTGATTGGTTAGGAAGCCAGGCTGCCCATCAACAAGTGAAGCTGCATCCTAGTCCATCTGGAAGCTGTGCAGCACGTTATAACCCACTGCCCAGCTTGTGGATAGGGAAGGAAGCTGGCTCCATGCTCCCTTGGCATTTCCGGTCAGAGGAAGTTCCGGTATCTGAGGTAAGTATTGGAGCATTTGGGCGAGTACTAGTATCGGTATTGGTGCATCCCTACTGCTAGTCTGCCAGAAATGCACTCAGTGTCTGAGTCCTATTGTAGGCTGACAGCACACAGCATTTTGTAGAGTGGTGTCAGCCCTGCCCAGTCTTTCTTTTGTTAAACTACACAATCCATCCCACTGTGTTCATCTTAAAAGCATAGACACAAATTTACTTGTAGTCCAAGATGGGAACTGGGAGGGCTAAAACGATTCTCTGAAGAAGCATAAAGTGTGCAGAGGACACAGGACAGCTTCTGGATTTCTAACAAGATCAACTGTTTTCTTTTTTTCTACTGATAAGACAGATATAAGAAAACACTTTTCAATGGCTTATTTCACAGACCAAAATGAAGTAAAAAAGGAGGAGTTGTATAGTTAGGGTTTATATCTCCTTTCATTAAGAAGTTAAGCTGATTGACTGCCATGACTCCTCACCTTCTTCCCTTTAGCGTCTGTGATAACATGGCGAGAGAAATCCACCAACGTTCCTTCCAAAAGCGCACCATGTCCTCTAAGGAGATAATCCAGACAAATCAGTGTTAGTATGAAAGATTTCCTAACACTACAGAATTTATGAAACATTTTCAAAGCAACCAATCGGATTTCAGTTTACTAGTATCAGGTCAATCACTGCTCCTTGCATGTGACTATTGCTTTTGTCTTGTCTTGTCTTATTAAACAGGGCTAATACCATGGCAGCTGCATTCATATCGCTATACAAGTGGAATACAGTCATTTCGTACACATCATTTCGTCACACCCCGCAGTGACGTCATCGAGCGTGCACTTGACGCTGCCACGCGCGCAGTCGTCTTAGTGACACTTGCCAGTGGCCATCTTGGTGATGGAAACCAGCAGAGAGGAGATGTTCACCTGGCGGGATGAGGTATGCCGCCGGGTCCCCTCCTCTCTCCTGACACTGTCAGGCTCTTCGTCCATGACTACTTTTTTCACATGATAGCAACACAAAGCATTGCAGTACTCTGCGTTGGGCTGCAAAGCAAAGCACAGATGCTTGGAGCTGTGTTGGGGTGCAATTCAAATGAATGGCAATACTATGCATCAGTTCACGTTACCGCACGCTAGGTGCGCTGTGCAATAGCATTCCATAAACGCATGGATACCACGCATGTAGTACAACTCTGGAGCCCGGAGACTTCCACCCCTTCTACCCCATAGGTAGGAGTTGCAGTGTAGATGGGGAGGCGGTGTGGAATGGAATTCCATCGCTACTTCTATTTCCTGTTATTTCCTTTCCACAGTCTAAACTTGTGTACAGAATAAATAAAGGCGTCCAGTCACCCCCCCGGAAATGGGAGGAAGATGGTATGATCTGCTGAGCTCTCTCCTCCCTTCCTACACTGCAAGGAAAACTTCACATGGTATAGAAACTGTCAGTCTTCTGTACTGTACATCAGATCAGTACATTGTTCATCAGATTAGTATACAGAACACCAGAGCAGTATATAGTTAATCAGATCAGTATATAGTTCATCAGATGAGTATACAGATCATCATAACAGTATACAGTTCATCAGATCAGTATACAGATAATCAGATCAGTATACAGATAATCAGATCAGTATACAGTTCATCAGATCAGTATACAGATATAATCACATCAGTACATTGTTCAATCAGATCAGTATACAGTTAATCAGATTAGTATATAGTTCATCAGATCAGTATACAGTTAATCAGATCAGTATATAGTTCATCAGATCAGTATATAGATCATCAGATCAGTATACAGTTAATCAGATCAGTATATAGTTCATCAGATCAGTATACAGTTCATCGGATCAGTATATAGTTCATCAGATCAGTATACAGTTCATCAGATCAGTATACAGTTCATCAGATCAGTATATAGTTCATCAGATCAGTATACAGTTCATCAGATCAGTATATAGTTCATCAGATCAGTACACAGTTCATCAGATCAGTATATAGTTCATCATATCAGCATACAGTTCATCATATCAGTATACAGTTCATCAGATCAGTATACAATTCATCAGATCAGTATACAGTTCATCATATCAGTATACAGTTCATCATATCAGTATACATTTCATCATATCAGTATACAGTTCATCAGATCAGTATACAGTTCATCAGATCAGTATATAGTTCATCATATCAGCATACAGTTCATCATATCAGTATACAGATCATCATATCAGAATACAGTTCATCAGATCAGTATACAGTTCATCAGATCAGTATACAATTCATCAGATCAGTATACAGTTCATCAGATCAGTATACAGTTCATCAGATCAGTATACAGTTCATCAGATCAGTATACAGTTCATCAGATCAGTATACAATTAATCAGATCAGTATACAGTTCATCAGATCAGTATACAATTCATCAGATCAGTATACAGTTCATCAGATTAGTATACAGTTCATCAGATCAGTATACAGTTCATCAGATCAGTATACAGTTCATCAGATCAGTGTACAGTTCATCAGATCAGTACACAGTTCATCAGATCAGTATATAGTTCATAATATCAGCATACAGTTCATCATATCAGTATACAGTTCATCAGATCAGTATACAATTAATCAGATCAGTATACAGTTCATCAGATCAGTATACAGTTCAGTATACAGTTCATCAGATCAGTATACAGTTCATCAGATCAGTATACAATTAATCAGATCAGTATATAGTTCATCAGATCAGTATACAATTCATAAGATCAGTATACAGTTCATCAGATTAGTATACAGTTCATCAGATCAGTATACAGTTCATCAGATCAGTATACAGTTCATCAGATCAGTGTACAGTTCATCAGATCAGTACACAGTTCATCAGATCAGTATATAGTTCATAATATCAGCATACAGTTCATCATATCAGTATACAGTTCATCAGATCAGTATACAATTAATCAGATCAGTATACAGTTCATCAGATCAGTATACAGTTCAGTATACAGTTCATCAGATCAGTATACAGTTCATCAGATCAGTATACAGTTCATCAGATCAGTATATAGTTCATCAGGCTCTGAGGTGGTCTGTACGGCTCTCAGGTGATCTCTAGAGTCACTCAGGTGGTGTGTATTGGCTCTCAGGTGGTCTACAAGGGCTCTGAGGTGGGCTATGCTAGCTCTGAGGTGGTCTATATGGGATCTTGGGGGGCTGTGCAACTTCCAGGTGGTCTATAAGGGCTCTTAGGTAGGCTCTGTGGGCTCTAAGGTGGTGTGGATTGGCTCTCGGGAGGTTGTGCGGTTCTTAGGTGGTCTATAAGGGCTCTGGGGGCACTTAGGCGGTATGTATGGGCTCTCAGGGGGCCTGTTACTGCTCCTGGGGGCGTCTCAAGGGCAGATACGGCTTTCTAATTCGCACCTGTATTTTTAGGTGTGATTAGGGATTCCTGTGTCAGGAACTTGCGTTTTCCTGCAGCAGGAATCCCTAATGTGGCATTTACATGTGGCAGCTGTCACCCATTCAAATTAATGATCTGGGGACAGCCACTGCATGTAAACGCCTGCCCACCGCATGTAATAGTGTGTGATATGATTACATGTGGTTAGAAATCAATCATTATCCCTTGATGCTCGATCAATGCGTCCAGGAAGAATGGTTCCTAACCGCATGCAATCATATCATATGCAGTGTGCAGGCGTTTACATGCAGTGGCTGTCACCAAATCATTACCTTGAATGGGTGACAGCTGCCGCATCCAAATGCCACATTAAGGATTCCTGCTGCAGGAAAACGCAAGTTCCTGAGGCAGGAATCCCTAATATCACCTAAACTTACAGATATGAATATGCTACCCCCCGTTTGCCTGCCCTCCCACACCAAATAATATGCTCCCCCCTGTTCCCCACAAAATAATTGCTCTCCCCCCTGCACACACAAAAATAGAACAAATAGCCCCCTCACCTGCTTACGTTTTTGCAGGGAGGAGGCACATCATTCCCTAGTGATTCAGTGGTGATCCAGTTCTGGTGCAGACGTTACTAATCCATCCTTTCGGTCGGAGCTCAGAGCTCCGGCCCGAAAGGAACTGAGAGCACAGCCAGCAGCAGCTATGCAGGCTTGCATCTGACAGAGATGTAGACCGTGTAGCTGTTCATGCAAGTCAGGTACGCGGTCCGTGACAGTGTACCTGAATTGTCAGCTGGCTGTGGGCCACATAGTGCCGGTTTGTGGGCCGGTACTTTGAGACGCCCAAGTTAAACAGTACGGCAGACCTGGGCTCACCTTCCAGCAGAGAGGGCCCCCGCGTGCCATAGGTTCGCCACTATCGGCATGTTACCTGCTAGGTACGCTGGTGCGTTGCATTGCCATTCATTTGAATGGCACCCCAACACATCTGAGCAGGCGTGCTTTGCAGCAATACCATGCATTGCATTGCAGTGAAAAAAGTAATGCATTCAAGTTTGATCAGCTGTACAACACCACCAACCTGATCACCTAGTCCATTTCTCATATTATTATATGATGGAATTCTTAGAATCTGGTCCCTTTGGGGGTGATTTCTGAACACAGTGGTACTGTTTTTAGGCTTAGTGTAGCCATGGCAACATTTCAAACCTTTTGGCTCTCATTGTCTTTATTGTATATTCAATCATTTTACTGCTGAACATATCCTCGAAGGTCCTACAAATTTCATACTTCTTTAACAGATGTGATTAAGAAAGAAAAGCTCCCTATTATTGCCGTAGTGCAGAGGTAGGCAATCTTCGGCCCTCCAGCTGTGGTGCAACTACAAATCCCATGAGGCAGTGCAAGATTCCGACAGCCACAGGCATGACTCCCAGAGGCTGATGCATGATGGGAAACTGCTGAGATCCTCTGGTGTGTAGAAGCTGCCTGTCAGGTAGTCACATCACCTAGTCCTATAACAACTCTATCACATCCTAATTGGCCAGCCACACCAACAGGACACACCTTGGGGGTCCAGAGCTTTTATTCCACTTCTTTCCAGTAATTGGGAGCAAAAACAACACTGACAGGTATGCTTTTTATGGTAGAAGAGGCTATGTATGTCTCCTTTGTCATAAATACTTCTTCCTGCCCTTTAAAGAAGAACTCTAGGGAATGTTATTAACCCTTTCAGTGGGGCTACTCCTGTACTGCAAGGGTTAACTGCTCATTTCTGTGCAGATTTATACTCACCCGATCCTCTGAGCAGGCTTGTTCTTAGACAAGTCCCTAGAGCCTCTCTCCCTCTCCTCTGCAGGTCCCATAAATCATCACGTCTATACACAGAGTATAGAAGTGAGGACGCTGAGGAACATTGCATGGCTGGGGACAGGCTAGTGGGAGCCCAGTGACAGTCGGCCAGCTCGGAGCTTCGGGTGAGTATAACTTTGTTGTTTTTGAACCTAGACACAAACAAGCACTTAACCCTTTCACTGAGGGGGTAGCCCCACTGCAAGGGTTAAGAAAATATTTTCCTGGAGCTCTTCTTTAGGGCCTGTTCACACGACGTCCGTTTTCTGTGCTGACCTGATCCGTACGCCCCTGCACTAAAAATGCATCCCAATGTATCCCTATGTGTTTTATGGGCTACAGTTCTCACATGCGCAGTCCGTTCAGGTTACGAC